GGCAACCTATGGAATGGTAGAAAATATTTGCAAACCCTATATTTTATAAAGGGTTATTATTCAAAATATGTAGGAAAATGCTACACTTAATAGCAAAAAAAAAAAATAACCTTATTAAAAATTGGGCAAGTGAACTGAATAGACTTTTCTCCAAAGAAGACACACAAATGGCCAATGAGTATATAAAAAGGTTCTCAACATCACTAATCATCAGGGAAATGTAAATCAAAACCACAGTGAGACATCAATTCACATCTGTTGGGATGTGTAATTATCAAAAAGCAAAAAATAACAAGTGTTGGAAAGGATGTGTAGAACAGGAAACCCTTGTACATTGTTGGTGGGAATGTAAATTGGTACAACCACTAGTGAAAACAATATGGAGTTTCCTCAAAGTATTAAAAACAGAACTACCATATTTTCCAGTACTCTCACTTCTGGGTATATATCCAAAGGAATTGAAATTAGTGTCTTGAAGAGGTATCTGTGGCCCAGTGTTCACTGCAACATTATTCACAATAGCCAAGACTTGGAAGCAGCCGACATGTTCACCAATGGATGAACGGACAAAGAAAATGTGGTATATACACACAATGGAATATTTTTCAGCCTTGGAAAAGAAAGAAATCTTGCCATTTATGACAACATAAATGAATCTGAAGGACATTCTGCTAAGTGAACTAAGCAAGACACAAGGACAAGTACTATATGATACTACTTACATGAGGAATCTAAAATAGTCAACCCTATGGGAGCACAGAGTAGAAAGGTGGCTGCCAGGGGCTGAGAGGAGGGGGAAACTGGGTGCTCTTAGTCAAAGGGCACAAAGTTTCAGTTATGCAAGATGAGTAAGTCCTAGAGATCTACTGTGTTTCATCGATCGACTGTATAAGATAACAATACTGTATTGTATACTTAAAAGTTTCCTAAGAGTACAGATCTTTTGTTTAAGGATTTTTTTTTTAGTTCTTTACAAGCACTACAGAATGGATAGCACTTCCATTGAATGAAATAACTCCATGCTAAATGCATTTGCAAGCAGTTTGTTAGCAACATCTTTATTAAATGTGTTCTTAATAAATTCATTATATAACTTACAGAGTAGGTATCAATTTTATTCACTGAAAAAACACTGAGCTGAACGCATCGTGCAAGTACCTTGCTTGTAATTCAGACACATCACTTAATCTCTTGATTCCTCATCTTTTTCTCTCATTCTTTTATGCAAATCGTAACAGAGATACAGTTATAAGTTTAGGTTTTCTTAAGTGCTTTGGGATGTTTGGATTTAAGATAGCATTTTTGTATGAAACTAAAGAGCAAAGTTTTTCACCATAATACAGTCTGTAAATTCCTTCATCTTCTTTATTTCTTCCTAGCTTCATCCTCCTCCACACATTTCCTGTGACCTTTACAGACCCTAGGGTAGACCACTAAGATTGACAACCGGAAGGTCGATATCCTCAAGACCAACAAAGAGTAATTTTTAGGGAAACATTGGCGAAAACTGCAATAATCTACCTCGTGCATCTTAAATTTTGGGCTAACCCGCCAGTGAAAAACACCCTTATACTCAGCTGACTGTAGACACAGGGATGGTGTTGCCCATTAGATTATTTAACATGCAGACAGGAAGTGTGGTAGAGATAATTGTCCCAGCTTTTTCTTTTTGACCTAACCTGCTTTTGTTCATCTCTTTTTATACCATCCGTCACCAGTCACATCTACCTGGGAAACCACTATGCACATGAATTTGTTTGGGTGATGTCAATCCCTGGAGATGTCTTTAACTTAAAAAATATTTTTAAATTCCGTTTAAAATTGAAGGTAGAAGAATCATGTTTTAGTTCTCAGAAGATCATTGGGATTCTTCGGAAGAAATAATTTTTTATCTTTTACATGCTGACAGTAATCCCTTATGATGCTTTTGTGGGAGTCAATTATATAAGTGCAGAATTAAAGCCTTCATAATATATAAAGTCTCATATTTATCTAAAACATTTGTGTTAGTTTCCTAGGGCTTCCATAACAACGTACCACAAACTTGCTGGCTCAAAACAACAGAAATTTATTCTCACATAGTTCTGGAGGACACAAATCCAGAAGTAAGGTGTTGGCTGGGCCATGCTCTCTATGAAGCCTCCAGGGGGGGATCTTTCTTTGCCTATTCCAACTTCTGGAAACCTTGAGTGTTTTTTGGCTGGTGACAGCATAAGTCCTATCTCTGACTCCATATTCACATGGCATTCTCTCCTCCCGTGTCTACCTCTTCCTATAAGGACACCTATCCTATTAGGTTAAGGGTCCACACTACTTCAGTATAAACTCATCATAATTTAATTTCATTTGCAATGACCCTATTTTCAAATAATGCCACATTCTGAAGTACTGGAGGTTAGGATGTCAACATATCTTTTAATGGAACACAACTCAACCTATAACAGTTCACCCTGGCTCCCCAAAATTTAAGTCCTTCTCACATGCAAAATTCATTCATCCCAACCCAACTTGCTCAAAGTATTAACCATTCAGCATCAGCTCTCAGTGAAAAAAATCTTATCTCAATATCAACTCGAAATCCCAGATCTCATTATCTAAATCAGTTATGGATGATAGTCAGAGTATTATTCATTCTGTAGAAAAATTCCTCTCTATCTGTGAAGCTGTGAAACCAGACAACAAGTTATCTGCTTCCAAAATACAATGGTAGGACAGGCATAGGATAGCTATTCCCATTCCAAAGGGAGAAATTGGAAGGAAAAAAAGGTCATGTATTCCAAGCAATTCCAAAACCTAGCATGGCAATTTCCATTCCATGTGAAGGCCAGAGAACAATCCTCTGTGGCTTGATGCTGTGCCTCTCACAGGACGTTGGCTGTGCCCTGTTGGCCCACAGGGAGAGTTTTCCTTCATCAGTGTCCTTCAGGCATGTCTCAGAAAGGCCCTGTAGTGGTACAGCTGTCTGCTTTCAAATGGTGCCTGCACATCTTGAGAATCATCAATAAACCAGGCCCAAAATTTCTCTTCCTCAGACAACTGATTGGAACTCTCCATGAAACCATAGATGTGGGCCGGGAGAAATAAGGTGTGTAGCAGGAGTGGGGACCATGAGTATTCTAGTCACTTCTTTCTGTAACTTACCTATGCCTTCAGGGCCTGCTCAAACTTGATCTCATATATACCACTTCCATTTGATGATGGAGTGCTGCTGTGCATGCCCACGTTTGTGGCACGGTGGGTGGGTAGCACCCACTTTATGATGAGTAGCTCAGTTTTCATGGTAAGTTGGTGGCCCATGGTTAAGCATTCAGTCTCTACTAAGTCTGAATACTGGGGTTTAAACTTCAACATATCTTTTTGGGGAACACAAGTATACTCATCACATCATGATAATTATTAACAATAGTAATTAAATTCATGGGTATATTCCTTTTTACTGAGTTTTTACAATGGTGAACTTACGTCAGTGCAACTCTAGTTTTGTCTCATTCTAATGACTTGATTTTTTAAATAAGGTAACAAGTGCTATTTTTAATCAGCCAGGTGCAAGTGTTTACTTTCGCTAACAAAACAGAGTGAATAAGTACAGGGTCATGTGCAGGTGTCATCCAGATTCTCAAGTGCTTAAAGTAAAATAATGGTGGCTGTTACTAATAACTATCATTTATCCATTTACTCAATAAATATTTATTGTGTCTCTAGTATGTTCCAGACATGATTCTAAATGCTGGGACATGGATATGAGCAAAACAGACAAATCTGCTCTCATGGTTTCTACTGCTTAAGAGGAGAGAGACAGACAATAAACAAATAAATTAAAAATATATAACATAAATTCAGGTCATGATTGATAAACATTATAAAAATATAAATATAGACTTTAAAAGAGAGTGGTTGAGTTGAGCATGCTAGTTATATGGGCTTTGCATCAGGCTTTTTACTGCCTATCTTGGATATCATTACACTGAAATTTCATAACATACTGCCCAAAGTCATCTGTAGATTTAATGCAGTCTCTTTCAAAACTTCAATGGAATTTTAAAATTATTTAAATGAAATAGAAAAAAACAATTCAAAAATTAGTTTGGAACCACAAAAGACCTTGAATAGCCAAAGAAATTTTGAGAAAACACAAAGCTGGAGGCATCACACTTCCTGATTTCAAATTATACTGTAAAGCTATAGTAATCAAAATGATATGGGACTGGCATAAAAACCATCACATAGAGCAATGGAACAAAATTAAGCACCCGGAAATAAACTTGTACATATATGAGCAACTATTATTTGACAAGAAAACCAAGATTATTTCATGGGAAAAGATAGTTTCTTCAATAAATGGTGCTTGAAAAACTGGATGTTTATATGAAAAAGAATGAAATTGGACCCCTATCTCACAAAAATTAACACAAAATAGATTAAAGATTTAAATGTAAGATGTAAAATTGTAAACTTTCCAGAAGAAAGCATAGGGAAAAATTCCTTGGTATTGGTCTTGGCAATAATTTATTGTATATGATACCAGAAGCACAAGCAACAAAGTAAAAAATAAACAAATGGGACTACATCAAACTAAAAACGCAGCAAAAGAAATGATCGACCAAATGAAGAGACAGTCTACAATATGGGAGAAAATGTTTGTAAATCATATATCTGATAAGGGGTTAATACACTTATATAGTCTAATATCTAAATATAGTCTAATTATAGTCTAATATAGTCTAATTATCTAAAATACAATGCATGTGTTAGAAAAGGAGAAAGATCTAAGATTTTACCTTAGAAAACAGAAAAAAAGAGAAAATTAAATCCAAAATAAACAGAAGAAAAAATAATAATAGGCACAAGCAGATCTCAGAAGAACTGGGTTTCAAGACTCTCCAGTGCTTGGTAGCCTGGTTTCCCCCTCTGTTATGTCTCATGTAGCCCCTGGAGCCATTTGGAGGAGTCCCTGATGTCTGAATAAGAGTCAGAGACATCTTGAGGCCGCAGTCACCACCATGCCCAAGAATAAAGGTAAAAGAGGTAAATTAGATGCAGAGGTAAGAATGAGAATTCATCTAAAGAAAAGAGAGCTGGCGCTCAAAGAGGATGGACAAGAGTATGCTCAAGTAATGAAAATGTTGGGAAATGGATGATTAGAAGTGAGGTGTTTTGATGGCATAAATAGGTTAGGTCACATGAGAGGGAAATTGAGGAAAAAGCTTTGGATAAATACCTCAGATCTTATATTGGTTGCTCTATGAGACTAACAGGATAACAAAGCTGGTGTAATTTTAAAACCCAATCAGGATGAAGCTATAAGTGTGAAGGCCTATGGTGAGCTTCCAGAACATGCTAAATTTAAGGAAACTGATACATTTGGTCCTGGAGATGATGATGGAATTCAGTTTGATGATATTGGAAATGATGAAGAAGACATTGATGATATCTAAACTGAACTCAATATTTTATGTTCCAATTATTCTCAGGATTGTTCTACAGTTTGGATTTTGGCTATGATCCCATTAAAGAATATTAAAATTTTATTACCATGAGAGCAAGTTATTAAAGTAGACTGATTTGCTTGTAAAGTATTTGTGTTTCTTTAAAAGCTGGTAATGCTGAATAGCTTAAGTGAAATGTTAAACCCACTTCATTCTTTTCATGTAATGGTGCTTATGGGTAAAAGACCACTTCTTCTATCTTTAAAAAGAGAGAGAAGTTGTCTTTTCAACTTAGACCACTTCCAGGAAGTAAATGCATGTTTTGAATAAACCGTTTGCCCTGCACTCATTATGGATTAAAATTAAGCTCTAATTTTGACTACCCTGTTAACTGTACAGTGATATTCTGTATTTTTTAGTTACCCAGACCTTCCTTTGAGGTTTTCATATAGTTTAAATGAGGTAGAAATTTGCATTTGAAGTAAAAAATGATAGGTCTATTTTACATATTTAAGTAACATGTGGCTGTTTTATACAAATTTTGATATCATGTATACTTTTTTCATGATCTTATTTGCCACTGTAAACATATTAACAAAAAAGCAATTCCAAATCTCTTTAGAACCAGGATTTTAATAGCAATTTTGAATTTGTAAGTTAGCAGTTGCAGAAATTGAACACTTTGTGGCACCTAGTTATGTTAATAGTGGATATTTTCGTATATTTGTGAGGTTGTTTTTATTTGTCATGCATAGGAAATTTCTCAAATAAGAAAAGATTATGTTTTGATCATATGCATGTATACAAACTTCTTTTACAAAACAAAAATATAATGTTAAAAGTGTCATTTTATTTTCAGAAGTCATATACATGCAAATTATAGTTTTGGGTGTTTTATAAATACTTAAATTGTGTGTACATGAAAATTTAATTTCATAACTACTTGTACAAATTAAGTCTTTTCAACTATCTCTAAGTTGAAGAAAGAGAAGGGAGTAATAACTTAATAAAAAGATGCTCTACAATTTTTGAATGGAAGAGCTACAGCTAAGAAATATAATAAAGACAATGTCATGCTGCAGAGTTTAAAAGATAGAGATAATAATAACTAAAGCAGAAATTGTGAAATTGAAAACAGAAAATCAATAGAGAAAATAAAAAAAAAAAACCCAAAGCCTTGTTCTTTGAAAAGGTCAATACAAATGATAAGCCTCTAGCCAAACTAACTAAGAAAAAAAGAAAGAAGACACAAATACTAATGTCAGAAATGAAAGAGGGACATCACTACAGATCCTATAGATGTTAAATGGATAATAAAGGAAGACTATGAAAAACTCCATGCCCACACCTTCAATAACCTAGATGAAATGGACCAATTCCTTGAAAGACAAAATTGACTAAAACTCACACAAGAAGAAATAGACTATTGTAATAGGCCTATATCTATTAAATAAATTGAATCAATAATTAATAAACTTCCAAAACAGAAAGCTGTAGGCCCAGAGGAGTTTACTGGAGAATTCTACTAAACATTAAAATATTATGCCAATTCTTTACCATCTCTTTCAGAGGATAGAAGCAGAGCAAAACTTCCTAACTCATTTTATGAGGCTAACAGTGCCTTATTACCAAAACCAGACAAAGACATTGTAAGAAAAGAAAACTACAAGCCAGTATCTCTCATGAATATACATACAAAAATCCACAAGAAGATATTAGCAAATTGGATCCAACAATGTATAAAAAGAATTGTACACCATGACCAAGTGAGATTTATCCCAGGTATACAAGGCTGGTTCAATGTCCAAAAATCAAGTAATATAATCAATCACATAGACAGACTCAAAAAGAAAAATCACATGATCATATCAATAAATGAAGAAAAAGCAAAATCCAACACCAACTCATGAAAAAAACTCTCAATAAACCAGGAATAGGTGGAAACTTTCTCAACTTGAGAAAGAATATCTACAAAAACCCTGCAGCGAATACCATACATAATGGTGAGAAACTTGAAGCTTTCCCAAGAGGAGGTACAAGGCAAGATGTCCCCTTTCACCACTCCTTTTGAGCATTGTCCTGGAAGTTCTAGCTATTGCAATAAAATAAGAAAAGGAAATAAAAGACACACAGATTAGGAAGAAAGAAATAAAACTGTCTTTGTTTGCAAGTGACATGATTATCTATGTAGAAAGTTTGAAAGAATCAACAAAATAATCTTGGAGCTAGTCATTATAACAAGGTTGCACGATACAAGATTATTATACAAAAGTCAATCATCTTCATATGTACCAGCAATGAACAAGTGGAGTTTGAAATTAAAAACACAATACCATTTACATTGGTACCACAAAAAGTACAATATTTAGGTATAAATATGACAAAATATGTTCAAGTTCTATGAGGAGAACTCATAAAGAACTACAAAAGTCTGATAAATTAAATCAAAGAACAACTAAATAAATGGAAAGATATTCCATGTTCATGGATAGAAAGACTCAATATTGTCAAGACATCAGTTCTTTCCAACTTGATCTATAGATTCATTGCAATCTCAATCAAAATCCCAGCAAGTTATTTTGTGGATATTGACAAACTGATTCTAAAGTTTATATAGAGTGGCAAAAGATCCAGAATAGCCAACACAAAATTGATGAAGAACAAAGTCAGATTACAGACACTACCTGACTTCCAAACTTACTATAAAGCTACAGTAATCAAGAGAGTGTGGTGTTGGCAAAATAACACATGTAGATCAATGGAAGAGGATAGAGAGCCCAGAAATAGAATCTCATACATATAGTCAACTTATATTTGACAACAGAGCAAAGAGAATACAATGGAGCAAAGACAGTCTGTTCAACAAATGTTGCTGGAACAACTGGACATCCACATGGAAAACATGACACAGAGCTTACATCCTTCACAAAAGTTAACTCAAAATGGATCATAGATCTAAATATAAAATGCAAAACTTTAAAACTCCTAGAGGATAACTTAGGAGAAAACCTGAATGACCTCAAGTATGAGGATGACGTTTTAGGTAAAACACCAAAGGCAAGATATATGAAAACAAATTGATGAGCTGAACTTCATTAAAATTAACAATTTCTGCTCTGTGAAGGACAATATCAAGAGAATGAGAAGAGAAGCCACAGACTGGGAGAAATACTTGCAAAAGACACATCTTATAAAGGATTGTTATGTAAAATATGCAAAGGACTCAATCTAACTAAAAAATGGGCCAAAGACCTTAAAATACACCTCAGCAAAAGAAGATATACAGATGGTAAATAAGCACATGAAAAGATGCTCCATATCATACGTCATCAGGGAAATGCAACTTAAAATAAGAATGTGATACCCCTATACATCTATTAGAATGGCCCAAATCCAGACGACTGACAACACCAAATGCTGGTGAGGATATGGAGCAATAGGAACTCTCATACTCTGCTAGTGGGAATGCAATATGGTACAGCCGCTCAAGAAGACAATATTTTAAAAATGCTCTTAAATCATTAAGATACTCTTAGGAGTATATGACCCAGCAATTGTGTCCACCCAAATGCATGCACATGGATGTTTACAGCTGCTTTATTCATCATCACCAAAACTTGGAAGCAACCAAGATGTGTTTCAGTGGGTAAATGGATAAATAAATAGTGGTACATCCAGACAGTGGAATATTATTGGTTGATAAAAAGAAATGAGCTACCAAGCCATGAAAAGACATAGAGGATACTGTGTGATTTCAACTATATCACATTCTGGAAAAGCCAAAACTATGGAGACAATTAAAGAGATCAGTGATTGCCAGGGATTGCAGGTGGGATGGAGGGGTGGGAGAGATGAATAAGCAGAGAATAAAGGATTTAAGGGCAGTGAAAATACTCTGTGTGATATGATAATAATGGATAAATGTCATTATACATTTGTCTAAACTCATAAAATGTATAACGCCAAGAACCATAACATAATCTATGTACTTTGTGTGATTATGAGTTGTCAATGTGAGTACATCAGTTGTGAAAAATGTACTGCTCTGGGGGCCAGCCCGGTGGCATAGCAGTTAAGTTTGCACGCTCTGCTTCAGTGGCCCGGGGTTCACTGGTTCGGATCCAGGGCATGGAGTTAGCACTGCATATCAAGCCATGCTGTGGAAGGCATCCCACATAAAAAAAAAAGAGGAAGATAGGTACAGATGTTAGCTCAGGGTCGATCTTCCTCAGCAAAAAGGGAGCAGATATTAGCCCAGGGCCAATCTGTCAAAAAAAAAATACAAAAAATGTAAAAAACCCAAAAATAAACAAATAAAAATGTACTACTCTGGTTGGAGATGTTGATAACGGGGGTATGAGGCAGGAGGTATATGCATGTATGGGAGGCATGAGGTATATAGAAAATCTCTGTACCTTCCCATCAATTTTGCTGTGAACTAAACAGCTCTCTAAAAAAGTCATAATTTAAAAAAAATTGACAATCCATAAAATCGAAGCAAATCACATATTTGATAAAGAACTTGTGTTCCAATATATAAACAATGCATACAACTCAGCAATAAAAAAACAAATACCCAATTAAAACACGGGCTAGGGATTTGAATCAACATTTCTCAAAAAAAGATATATGACGGCCAATAAGTGTTTGAAAAAATGATTAACATCAGTGTTCATTAGGAAAATGCAAATCAAGACCACAAGATACCACTTCATACACACTATAATGGCTATAATCAAAAAGACAGATGATAGGTGTTAGCAAGGATGTGGAGAAATTGGAATCTTCTTAAATTGTTAGCGAGAATGTAAATTGTTCCAGCCACTTACAAATTGGGCATTCCTCAAAAGGTTAAACATATAATTATCATAGTAAATAGCAATTCCACTCCCAGGTAAATATCTTAGAGAAAGGAGTTATGACTATACAAGAATTTGTACATGAAAGTTCATAGCAGCATTATTCATAATAGTCAAAGAGCAGAAACAATTCAAATATCCATCAATTGA